GGTCTGGGGCTGACACCTGAAACACATAGTTGTTATTATTAGGCCAGCGTTATACATATTAACAAAGAGCATGCATACTATCACCCTTGTAATCTAGTCACTGCATGGACAACAGATGCAGACACAAATTTTGGGCTTTATGCAGAAATCTCACAGGCTTGGGTAGATGACAAAACAATTCTCACATGCTTGCAGGCATGGAAAGTATAATACAGGCCTTACACAAAATGTCATGATTTATACAGTTTTCCCTCCATCTAAATGCTTACGGTTGCATACATAAAACGATACCAAATATATCCAAAAACAAAACAAAAAATCAACATATGTGTGATAAAAGTTCAGTGAGGTGGTCTGCAGCCATTGGTGGATTGTGTTGTGCTGTGAATTTGCAAAGCTTAACTTCAGCCTTGACCGCAATTGTTGGGGCACCAGATTTGAGAAGTGCAAACAGTGTCATGTGACTGATTCTCCCTTTGATGCAGTTTAGATTGCAATGTTGCATCACACACACAGGATGCTGCTACTTTAGTGTCTCGCAATACAGAGTGTGCAGCATTTCTTGTCAGTACAATGCAGTTGGACGTCGCTTTTTGTTGATTTTATAGATTTTTGTGTTAATACATAATACATCTTACTGCCATTTAAAGATCCTACAGTTTTTCTATGAATTTTACATTTTTTTCCCGTTGGATGATACTGGTGGATTAACACATCTTTTGAATTTCACTCAGATACTGCATGTACTTGAAAAAAGAAGCTTTTTATCTGTGACTGACGTAAGATCTTGAAGGTGATAGGATACATACACAAAATACAGTGTGTGTGCGTTTGCGTGTGTGTGTGTGTGTGTGTGTGTGAGAGAGAGAGAGAGAGAGAGAGAGTGAGAGAGAGACGGGGGGCATTCAACAGCTCCAGGGCCCCATAACAGGTTGATCCAGCCATGCCTTGTTCATTATGTATGCAGCTGCATAAATCAAGTGTTGCTGGTTTCACTCTGATATAATGAAAAAGCTCAAGTGCCTGTTTATGTCACGTATGTTTCCAGCGAAGTCTGTTAATCACCATGGAGAAAAACAGCATTGCACAAGTGAGAAGAGGGGGATTCTGTTGAATTGAATTCTAAACAGCATCATTTATAAGTACCACAGTGCACCAGATGACACTTTAAATAGGATTTGTCTTCATTGTGATTGTCACACACAGCTAAAGAAGGTCTGATGAAATGTTCACAAGACGTAAGCAACTTATCTGTACTTTAGCTGTGATTTTACTTTTAATTCTGTCAGTGGACTGTTTTCCCGTTAAATTTAATGCTCATGCTTTATTCGAGCCACGCACCTGCAGCATTAGTATTTTGTATTTCAGCAGTGACACAACAGTCATGGTTACACAGGCAGTTTAAATGAAAGGGGGATGTACAGAAAGTCTAGGCTTCAGAGCATCTTTCAGAGACGCATGAGGGGGAGATTACCTATTATTAGAGTAGCCTAGTGGCTTAAGTTGTAAGCTAATCTGACGTGTGGTTGGGTGGTTACATGTTGCTGTGGTGTGTTTGGCACAATTGTTTTTAGTTATAACTCAAGCTTCTCATCAGCGCTCTAAATGTAGCTGTAACCCTGACAAGCGTGTGAAAACAAAACTACCACAAATTAGCACACTTGAATTATATGAATGATTTGTTTCGGGATGTTTTTTTTCCGTTATACTATTTCATCACGTTTTTATTTTATGAAAAACAGTTTACGTAAGCTGGTAAGTTTGCCTAAGCTGCTTTTTGTGGTTAAAGAAAACAAGTCTCCTCCATGTGTCTTCCTCTACTGTTGACAGTGTGCTTGCTGACAAACTAAGAATTTGTTGGCTTTTCTGTATAATTTTGTAGTGTATTAACCTTTACTTTAAATTAGTCAGGTAATTTAGTCTAGTATATAATACTATTTCAGTTAGTAAGGTAAATCAGAAATACTTTATTGATCCCTGAGGGGAAACTGCTTAGTTACAGCTGCTCCTTATCAAGTTAGAAGAAATTTGTAAATTTAATAACAAAAAAAAAAACAAAAAAAAAAGCTGGATCTTAACCTTAATATTTAATCTTGTTAAGCAAATTTGTTACACCAATGCTTTTTCTCTGTTGCATTTTGGCCCAGTTGTCACTAATGTGCTGTATAAATAAAAGTGACAAGACTTCACCCAGAGGGGTGTGCCCAGTGTGGAAATAATGGTGCGTTCATGGTCGCGTGTTAAAACAGCAATTTTTTGAATTCACCTCTGTTACCCTTCTCCCTCACCACTCGTGAGTTGTGATGTCGGTCTAATTTTAGAGTGTCCTATTTTGTTACGCACGACATTTCTAATTGTATATTACCACAGAAATTGTTCAAACGATGGATAAATGTCACCATCACACCAGAATATATTAAACACTTACAACAGGCGAAGTTAGCACATTTAAATACTCAATAGCTCCTGGTTGTTCTTAGTGGTCTTAATATTGTAGCAAGTTGAGCTTACAAGGTTTTAGTCAGTTTTGTGTTATTTTGTGTGTGTGTTTCATATAAATTTTAGTATGCTTTACGAATTAATTTCCAAAGTTTCATCGTGTTTTCTGTGTTGCTTTTTTTTTTCCTTAAAAAAAAAAAAAAAACTCCATTTAGTAAGTTTTGACGACGCAAAATGGAACAATGGTAGTCCATTCAGGTCCATGTGTGATTATCAGGCTTGTCAGTTACATGAGGATATATCAGGTTAAAACAAAAAAGGTGTGTACACGTCGGCAAATGTACATCTTTGTGTTTACATAATACACGTACCCGCACAAACATATGTGTCTGTCGTACAAACATGCACACAAACACGCACGCATACACATGCACGCTGAAAAGTGGAGAAAGAGATATTATAATTGAGAAAAAATACACACACACACACCCAAGTGCATGTGTACAATACAGAAAGGAAGAAACAGACATGTAAGTTTGTTTTTGCGATTATGCTGTTGCCTGTTCTGGCTAATTCAAGATGTTTTAAAAATGCAATAACTATAAACTAAGTAAATAAATAAATACACTGGATTTGATGTGTCTGTTCTTTTTAGTCAATTTACTTTTTTTGTGCACATAAAAGAGAAATAAAATATATTGTTTGCAGGGATATATTTTTCTGTATTTGTCACTAAACGTCTCATGGGCCACACCTCCTATACGTGATTACGTCACTCCGTCCTGCTCTGTGATTGGCTGTTGCAGCGACCCTCAGGGTATCGATTGGCTGCGAAACGAAGCAGGGAAAAGGGAAGCTAAAAAAAAAAAAAAATCTTGTCAACTGAAGTGGCTAAGCTTCTGCCTCACATTTGTCGTGCTCTTCAAGCTAACGTGACGATTCTGAAAGTGGTCGCTACCGAACAAGCAGGATGGGGTGCTTCTTTTCCAAGAAATCCAAAAGAAAGTCGGGGGAAAAAGACGATCGTACGCCGACAACAACGACTGTCGAAACTACGACGACAAGTAACGCGGTTCCCCTTGGCAACAACACCGACGAGGCTCCGAAACAGTACAGCTGGGATAAGAGAGAAAAGGTAACAGCTGCTATAAAACTCGAACTAAAGTGCTAAAATAAGCTAAAAGGATGTATTCCGCTAAGGTGGGCTCTTAACTAGTGAACTTTAGCTTACCTGAACCTTTAACACCTCTTACCTTGTATGTTCAGGCGCCTCCAGGTAGCTAATGTAGAGGCTCTGAGAGGTGCGTTCAGCGTACACCGTTAAATATGTAAGTCACGTTTATGTAACTAAACGTCAATGGTAGCTGTCCTCAATTGTGTTCAAATACACCACAGTGTCGCCTAATCATGGTGGAGGTATTTCTAAACTGATTTCCTGAGTGCTGCAGCACCAAAGGTAAATGAACCTCGTTCACTCCCGTTCATGGCGCAGCCGCCAAGTATCGTGATAATTCCGCTTTCACCGGACGCAGCCAGAAGATGCATGCAATGCTCATTATAAGTTGAAAACACGCTTAAGTTTTTTATGCTTCAAGCCTCCCTCTCTCTCTCTCCAGCTTTATCTCATTATCGGATTACTACATAGCACTGTGTAGTTCCCTGCTCCACTGCTGACCTCACCTAACTTGGGCCTGTTTAGACATTATAGGCGTGAACGAGGCGGTGGTTCCACTTCCGTTTTCTGTCATGGGATATTGCACCTTAAATGTGGTGTAGCAACTATAGCACACAACCACACAAATCCGGCCGTCGAGTCTGAAAATAGACCAGTAACCACCTGCAAAATAATGGGGTCAAAATGAAGCACGATTGATGCATTGAAAGGCTGAAACTGTTGTAGTGAAACATAACAAAGAGGTACAGTGATGTGGTAGTGTGTTGTCACTTGCAGAAATTTTTATTATAATAAATTATAATCCCAAAAAAAAGCCACTAGCATTAGCCCTCATCCTACGAACTGGGACTATCCACATAGGTATACTTTTGTTGTATCTCACAGTTTCTTTATTCTGTCAGTCCAGCTTTTCACAATTTTGTTCATCACTTAGTTCTGAATGACTTCATATCATTGTTTTCTGTTTCTGTTATAGTGGTGCTTTTTAGAAATATCTATGCATCGCTTTTCTAGGGAATCCCCAGTCAAAAACACCCATTTCCACTTATTTCTAGTTTTAATTGATGGAGCTATTTATTACCTTTATGTTTGCCATGGGTGCTAATTTCAACTATCACACAATATCAGAGATTTTATGAGCAATCTGTCCGTCATTCTGAAGGAGAAAGACACAAATTTCCGCTTGTGCTCTGTGGATGGCCTTAAATACTGCTCTTGACCGCAATTGTTGGGGCAACAGACCAGAAAATGAGACAAAGTATATTTTATTCTCGCAGCAGCACAGGTACAGAACAACAAGTAAACAGCAAGGTAAAGAATAAGCCAAATATATGGAACCATATATGAAACCTTACCATCTGAAACACAATACACAGAACACTTTATTCAAACCCTATGTACATACTGCACCAGTATGAATATCATATTACACTTTAAACAGATGTAAACAGATACATAACGCCAAAAGAGCAAAAACGGATCCAAAGATCAACGATGCAGATCAGATATGTGGCCGGACACATTGAGAGTTGTGATTGAGTTGCTGTTTTTTGAGCAGTGTGATATTAGTAGTTATTGAATACAGGTAGAAGTGGTTGCTCTTGTGAAAAAGATGTTTAAAGTCAGAAATTAATGTTTTTTTACTATCAAGAAAAACTTCTATGTTTTGTGATAAAGGATAGGACTAAAATTGTGTGTTGTGCAAATGATCAACATGCAGTCAGAGCATGATTAGAATGTGGTGTGGGTGTGGAAAAAAGCACCGATGTAACCATTGGTCAAGAAACACGAGTGTTCAAGGAGAAAGATTTTAGGGGGTTTCTGTTTGTCAGGGCTCCAAGATATGTTTGGCTGTAATAAATATAGAATACATTTTTAGAATATAGTTTGAGATAACATCAGTGTGTTTTTTTTCCAGCAGCAATGGTAAGCAGATCAAGAATGGCTGGAGGATTTTAAATATGAACCAAATAAAATTCACTTAAAATAAACTGAGAATCAACAGATAGCGAAAAAAAATGTTAAGCTCTAATGTGGATTGTACGAAAGTTGGAATTTGTGTTAAAGAAAAGCTTCATTTTGCACAATATGCAGATTAGGTACCTTAGTGACATTATGTGCACAGCTAGCAATGTTTTAAGAATAAATGAGTTAGTAGTAGTTTATTCTTGGGGTTCTCAGGGCCCTCAGTCGATTTTGTTGGTAGTATGAGGGGTAAATATTGTTATTGGATGATAAAGGTACTCATGGAGGAGATATTACATAGGTTAAAAATGGTGTATTTGTGTCTCTCTGAATATATAGTTTGAGGATTTATTTAGTTACCTTCTCTCCACACAGGTTGACCCCAAAGACTACATGCTGACAGGTCTCAAAGACGTCACAGTGGGGCGTTTGCCCGGAAAACTGAACGGGCAACAGTTTGTCATCCAAGAGTGCGAGAACTGCAACATCTTTGTGTTCGACCATTCAGCAACTATCACCATTGACGACTGTGTCAACTGCCGCATCTTTCTAGGACCTGTCAAAGGCAGTGTGTTTTTCAGAGACTGCAAAGACATCAAGTGCGTGGTGGCCTGTCAGCAGTTTCGTACACGGGACTGTAAAAAGATGGAGGTGTTCTTGTGCTGCGCCACTCAGCCCATCATCGAGTCGTCTACGGGTATGAAGTTCGGCTGCTTCCAGTACTACTACCCCGAGTTGGCCTTCCACTTCAAGGACGCCGGGCTCAGCATATTCAACAACAACTGGAGCAACATTCACGACTTCACGCCGGTGTCTGGAGAGAACAACTGGAGCTTGTTGCCGGAGGCCTCAGCGGTTCTGGATTTTGTTCCAACGCCAGACCCAGAGTCTGACTTCAAGTCGGTTCGGATCTCCACTGAACCCGCACGGAGCATAGTGCCTTTGACAAAAGGAGGGAGGCGGAAGGACAGTGAGGAGTCCTGCCTCTTTGTTTTCTTCGCTGGAGAGTACACGACCGCAAATGCCCGCAAACTGATTGATGAGGTGAGGAGGTTTTACTGGTTTGGCACCAACATATTTGAAGTTGTTTGTATGTGAATTTTAAAATGCTGATGGTAGTGAGGCATCAGAGCTCACTTACTGATAACACAACTGTGCTTTAACTGTGTTTTAAATATTGTGCAGTGAATTAAAGGAAAGTGGAAAGCACAGTAGTCACAGCTTAGAAGGAGTAAAAGGAGTAAAAGTTAAAACACTTGTAAAGAAAGTGAAACATGGAGGAAATGTTATCAAGCTTTAATGTTCACCGTTCTTGGATTATTCCAAAACACACATTACAATCTGCAATCATTATCCTCCAAGTGAAATGAGTTGCGTCACCGCTGAAACTTTCATTATTGTCAACTGGAAAAGTAGGTCAAAGATAACTTGTCTGATCACACCACCCACTTATTTCCTCTGAACATATATTTTTATATATATACACACGACATGGACTCCAAAAGACTAAAATGGATGCAGAAATACTTGTTTTTACATAAGAACTGTTAAATGTGTTCAACATTTATTGTGCCTCCATGAATTTTCATGACTAAGTAGTTGCAAACAAGTATTTTCAATCTTTGTCGCCTCAAAATTCTGTAAGTATTGCTAATAACATGGTTTGTTTATGTGTTTTCTTTCAACAACGAGCCCTTGTGCACTGGTTTAGCTCCGGTGCTCAGCCACCATGCTAAGCTGGCTGTGCTTGTCTCAAACATTCCAGTTATGTTTGAACTGTTGCTAAAACACGCATTACTCCACCGCATAAGCATGAAACCGGATCCACATGAGGAATGGTGAAGAAGTGTAGTAGCAAGACACATCTTTACAGATTGTGTCTTCTGAGTGTCTAAATGGAGGATTCTTTAAATGCTTTGTGGTTCAGTGGTAACTGTAAAAGGTTATTATATAACTCGTTTCCATCTAAATTTCACAGGCGACTGCTAAAGGTTTTGTGCTGATTCAGACAAAGGAAGTCTCAATGCGACCTGAAGATGTGAAGAGAGTGTTTCAGAACAGTGCTGATGATCTCGTGGAGTGGATAACTAAAGGTAATTTTCTTTTCTGTTCTGTTGTTGCTGCTCTGATATATCTGCTGCTCTGGAACTCAGCCAAGTATGTAAGATCTGTTGTGACAAAACTGTTTCATAAACCCCACAGCAACAGCATATTTATACTCTGCGTGTACTAATAAGAGTTGTGGTGTTCGTATTACAACAGAGCAAAATGAGAGAAGCAATGTGTGGGTTAAAATGCGTAAACGGCTAGCAGATGTCAGTTTCCTGTTTTGAAGTAATTCTATCAATGAGGACTGTAAGTTATATAAAAAATCCTGTTTGGATTCCTTCTGACACCCAAATATGTAAAAGAAAATGTAATCCTTCCCGTACCACAGTGTGCCTTTTGCTTTCTAAGAGTTTTCAGAGGTTATAAATACTTTTTGGTCAACATACTCTCCATATTGTTATTATGACAACACTTATTACTGTTAGTTTTTGAGTGCAGATGTGGGACATGTTGTAGAAACCACTAGAATTAGGGTTCAAAACTATGAGTGGCTGCTGGAAAATTTTATTTCATGTTAATTTTAGTGGAAAGCAGTTACTAGCTGTGTTTCCACAAGGTATTTTAATATGCATTTTAAAGTATCATACACACATGGACAAAGTTGTTGGTACTCTTTGGTTAACGAAAGAAAAACCCACAACGCTCACAGACATAACTTGAATCTGACAAAAGTAATAATAAATAAAAATTCTATGAAAATTAGCCAATGAAAATCAGACATTGCTTTTGAACCGTGATTTAACAGAATTATTTTAGAAAATAAACTCATGAAACAGGCCTGGACAAAAATGATGGTACCCCTAGAAAAGACTGAAAATAATGTGACCATAGGGACACGTTCAATCAAGGTGTGTCCTCTAATTAGCATCACAGGTGTCTACAAACTTGTAATCAGTCAGTCGGCCTATTTATAGGGTTACAAGTAGTCACTGTGCTGTTTGGTGACATGGTGTGTACCACACTAAACACGGACCAGAGGAAGCCAAGGAGAGAGTTGTCGCAGGAGATTAGAAAGAAAATTATAGACAAGCATGTTACAGGTAAAGGCTATAAGACCATCTCCAAGCAGCTGGATGTTCCTGTGACTACAGTTGCACATATTATTCATAAATTTAAGATCCATGGGACAGTAGCCAACCTCCCTGGACGTGGCAGCAGGAGGAACATTGATGACAAATGGAAGAGATGGATAATACGAATGGTAACAAAAGAGCCCAGAACAACCTCTAAAGACATTAAAGGTGAACTTCAAGGTCAACGTACATCAGTGTCAGATCGCACCATCCGTCATTGTTTGAGCCAAAGTGGACTTCATGGGAGACGACCAAGGAGGACACCATTGTTGAAAACAAATNAATGGTGGAAACACCCGCTACTGACATTGTCAATTTTTGTTATTTGGGGCTATCCTTGTTATTGTTTAAATTTTGGGGGTAATAAATATTAAACTAATGAAAATGGTGTTTCTTCTCATTCATTATTAGTAATATCAAAGGGAACTTTTACTTATTTCATTAAGATTCAGACCAAATAGGAAAAGCGCTCATGTAAACAACAATATCCCTAACACATTGTGAGTAGTGTAATTGTTGACCAAAGAAATGTTTGCACTTTAGAACATAATCCAGGAATAATTTAAGATTATGATAGGCAATAATATAGTGTTGTATCTAATGTTTAAGCTATTGGTTATGTGTTTGAGATATCTGATATTATTGTTTTGGCTGTGGTTACCATGATTTACTGATGTGTTTAATATACACAATGAAATAGTATCTGTTTAGCAATTATCCAATGTGCTATATTCTAAAAAAAGAAATCAAGCCAATTTGATGCAACAATAACATTTCAGTCACAGTGTAGGGCTATGATCGCTTTTTGTTAGGTGTAAAACTGCATCATATGACGTTAATTGGTCCTTTAAAGCTATTTCAGTTGGCAAAAACAATTGGATTGGTTACATTATCTGGCCCAGAGCTGGTAAAACAAGGACATAAGGTTAGTTCTTCCTACTCACGGATCACTTTTTGGCAGAACATGAGAATGTGACGTATCCATATATAGTGGATGGACCAGAAGCCTTTTGTTGGTCGTAGCCTCAAGGTCTGAAAAGTCAAGGTAGTTCAGAAGTGTCTTAAACTTTGGTCTGGGTGCTAAAACAACAATGATATGCAGCTGTGATAGACACTATATAAACAGCAATAAAAAAAATGTTTGATAGAAAGTTCAGTAGTTTCACTTCAATGCATCAGATGCAAACCATTGTTAAAGCACACATTGAAAACTCAAAGTGTGGCTGCTTGAACAAACCGTGCTCCCTCCCTGGCTTATACCAGTCTATCATATCCCTTGATATCTTTTCGTCTCCCTGTGACTTCTTTGCAGTTTTCCCGAATCCCATTGGGGCTGGGCCTTCTGTCACCCCAGTCCATACCTGTAAACCTCGCTGGGAACCAATAATTGTTCATGCAAGACTAGTTTTGCAGTCTAAAAACACCCACAAACCTGCATTCCCCACCCAAGCAACGCACTCCCGGCAGTCTGCTCCAAGGACTGACGGGACCGTGGAGATTGATGCAAGGTCTCCATATGGCGAACCCAACCCTCCAGTCAGAACCTTAACCTTCACCCTGATCCCCCTCCATGTGCCTCTGAGTTTTACTTGCTTCGTTTATTTATTGTGAATCATTTATTTTTTCTATGTGAGTGATTTATTTACTTGAGTGTGTTTTTCATTGTTGCGTTCATAGTAAAATTATTACCTACATACCATAAATAAAGTGATTCAATTCAAAGTAAACCTTTTTTTTCTCCTGGTGTTAATTAAAAATAAGTTATTGCAAACTATCAGTCATAATCAATATAAACTGAGATTAAACATATTATCATGATGATTTTTTTAAAGATATAATGCCCAGTCATACTTAAACCTGCATTCTTTCTAACAACCAGCAGAGGGCGACTCTGCCGGTTGCAAAAAAAAAAAAAGTCTGATTGAATGTCTGTCAGAGAAAAGGATTCTTCCTCTTTTTGGATTTGTTACCTCAGTTTCCATTCTCCTAATGAATTTACATTCTCAATCGCTGGTTTCAAGTCTCCTTTAATACTAGATGATGTTCATTTTCTAAATTATGGTTCCATTGAGAGTAAAATAGATAATGAAATAGGGTATCACAACGCATGGTGTCCTTGAGTTCTCAATCAGAGACAACTTACATCTGGTTTTAAAAAAGCAAACACCACAATGAAGCCCTCAAAATTATACTTTGCAAACCAGTGGGCAATGTTACAGTTTCTGTCCATCTTTCATACATAGTCTTACAATAGACCTAATAATAATTAGTAATTAGTAATAATCAACCCACAGGGAACTATCACATGACTCTGCAGTTCCTTTTAACCCTATGGAGCAATTTAGCTTCTTGAGTGCACTGCTCTCATGTTTTTCTTTTATTATTAGACTCACACCACTGTCGTCAACCTTTTTCCCCGTTAGCAGGCAGCTGTTTTTGATGAATAAAGTTCTGGCAGACATTGCTAACCACACTATTCAAGGCAGAGTAAAGGTAGCAGCTCGCTAAGTTAGCAGCTAAAAAGCTGGGCTAGATATTTCACCCAGGAGTGAGTGGAGATTAAAAACAGAGCAAAGACAAGAGTAAACATTACACTTACATGTGTCTGGTAGCCAGAAAGATGATTTCAAATGAAAGATGACATTGTTCCATATCTGCTGAAAATGTGAGAGAAAACCACGTTAGCTAAAACGTTAGTTATTTTACAAGGACTAAATATATCAACATTGCAGCTGCAACCTGTTGCACTGCCCCTGGTGGCCAAAATAAGTCAATGCAGGTTTCTTATTTTACTTTCATACATGTCATCTAAAACCTTCTGTATTCTTGCAGACACATACAGTGCTTAACAAATTTATTAGACCACCACCCAATGTAAGGTTTATGTCACAGCTGCCATATATGAACAGCATTGGTAAATGCCAAAATTATTTCTTATGTTTCTGTCATGGTTAATACACCAGTATGTTGACGCTCTTTAACCAAAATTATTTTAATAATTAATTTTAATGCTAAAATATAATTATTATTGTTATCCATGAAATTGGGCTGCAAGGTGGCGCAGATGTCAAATTACAGTTGTTTACTTGCATTCCTGAAAAGAAAAAATAGTTTTAGTGGTTGAATGTTATGCTTGATTCATTTCTAACTTCTCAGAGAAGCCCAATGAGCCGGCTCAAATTTGGGTATGAAAAGACAAATTCAGTTTGAAATTCCTCATTCCTGTTCAAAATGTTACAACTTTGAGAGCTGAGTGAGCATTAAAGCACTTTATATTGCTGGATGGTTTATATATATTTATATATACACACTGCTTAACATATGAGACAGGTGGTCTAATAAATTTCTTAAGCACTGTACACGGTCTGGGGCTGACACCTGAAACACATAGTTGTTATTATTAGGCCAGCGTTATACATATTAACAAAGAGCATGCATACTATCACCCTTGTAATCTAGTCACTGCATGGACAACAGATGCAGACACAAATTTTGGGCTTTATGCAGAAATCTCACAGGCTTGGGTAGATGACAAAAGAATTCTCACATGCTTGCAGGCATGGAAAGTATAATACAGGCCTTACACAAAATGTCATGATTTATACAGTTTTCCCTCCATCTAAATGCTTACGGTTGCATACATAAAACGATACCAAATATATCCAAAAACAAAACAAAAAATCAACATATGTGTGATAAAAGTTCAGTGAGGTGGTCTGCAGCCATTGGTGGATTGTGTTGTGCTGTGAATTTGCAAAGCTTAACTTCAGCCTTGACCGCAATTGTTGGGGCACCAGATTTGAGAAGTGCAAACAGTGTCATGTGACTGATTCTCCCTTTGATGCAGTTTAGATTGCAATGTTGCATCACACACACAGGATGCTGCTACTTTAGTGTCTCGCAATACAGAGTGTGCAGCATTTCTTGTCAGTACAATGCAGTTGGACGTCGCTTTTTGTTGATTTTATAGATTTTTGTGTTAATACATAATACATCTTACTGCCATTTAAAGATCCTACAGTTTTTCTATGAATTTTACATTTTTTTCCCGTTGGATGATACTGGTGGATTAACACATCTTTTGAATTTCACTCAGATACTGCATGTACTTGAAAAAAGAAGCTTTTTATCTGTGACTGACGTAAGATCTTGAAGGTGATAGGATACATACACAAAATACAGTGTGTGTGCGTTTGCGTGTGTGTGTGTGTGTGTGTGTGTGAGAGAGAGAGAGAGAGAGAGAGAGTGAGAGAGAGACGGGGGGCATTCAACAGCTCCAGGGCCCCATAACAGGTTGATCCAGCCATGCCTTGTTCATTATGTATGCAGCTGCATAAATCAAGTGTTGCTGGTTTCACTCTGATATAATGAAAAAGCTCAAGTGCCTGTTTATGTCACGTATGTTTCCAGCGAAGTCTGTTAATCACCATGGAGAAAAACAGCATTGCACAAGTGAGAAGAGGGGGATTCTGTTGAATTGAATTCTAAACAGCATCATTTATAAGTACCACAGTGCACCAGATGATACTTTAAATAGGATTTGTCTTTACTGTGATTGTCACACACAGCTAAAGAAGGTCTGATGAAATGTTCACAAGACGTAAGCAACTTATCTGTACTTTAGCTGTGATTTTACTTTTAATTCTGTCAGTGGACTGTTTTCCCGTTAAATTTAATGCTCATGCTTTATTCGAGCCACGCACCTGCAGCATTAGTATTTTGTATTTCAGCAGTGACACAACAGTCATGGTTACACAGGCAGTTTAAATGAAAGGGGGATGTACAGAAAGTCTAGGCTTCAGAGCATCTTTCAGAGACGCATGAGGGGGAGATTACCTATTATTAGAGTAGCCTAGTGGCTTAAGTTGTAAGCTAATCTGACGTGTGGTTGGGTGGTTACATGTTGCTGTGGTGTGTTTGGCACAATTGTTTTTAGTTATAACTCAAGCTTCTCATCAGCGCTCTAAATGTAGCTGTAACCCTGACAGGCGTGTGAAAACAAAACTACCACAAATTAGCACACTTGAATTATATGAATGATTTGTTTCGGGATGTTTTTTTTCCGTTATACTATTTCATCACGTTTTTATTTTATGAAAAACAGTTTACGTAAGCTGATAAGTTTGCCTAAGCTGCTTTTTGTGGTTAAAGAAAACAAGTCTCCTCCATGTGTCTTCCTCTACTGTTGACAGTGTGCTTGCTGACAAACTAAGAATTTGTTGGCTTTTCTGTATAATTTTGTAGTGTATTAACCTTTACTTTAAATTAGTCAGGTAATTTAGTCTAGTATATAATACTATTTCAGTTAGTAAGGTAAATCAGAAATACTTTATTGATCCCNCAGAGGAAGCCAAGGAGAGAGTTGTCGCAGGAGATTAGAAAGAAAATTATAGACAAGCATGTTACAGGTAAAGGCTATAAGACCATCTCCAAGCAGCTGGATGTTCCTGTGACTACAGTTGCACATATTATTCATAAATTTAAGATCCATGGGACAGTAGCCAACCTCCCTGGACGTGGCAGCAGGAGGAACATTGATGACAAATGGAAGAGATGGATAATACGAATGGTAACAAAAGAGCCCAGAACAACCTCTAAAGACATTAAAGGTGAACTTCAAGGTCAACGTACATCAGTGTCAGATCGCACCATCCGTCATTGTTTGAGCCAAAGTGGACTTCATGGGAGACGACCAAGGAGGACACCATTGTTGAAAACAAATCATAAAAAAGCCAGACTGGAATTTGTCAAACTGCATGTTGACAAGCCACAAAGCTTCTGGGAGAATGTCCTATGGACAGACGAGACAAAACTAGAACATTTTGGCAAGGCACATCAGCTCTATGTTCACAGATGCAAAAATGAAGCATATCAAGAAAAGAACACTGTCCCTGCTGTGAAACATGGAGGAGGCTCTGTTATGTTCTGGGGCTGCTTTGCTGCATCTGACACAGGGTGTCTTGAATCTGTGCAGAGTACAATGAAATCTCAAGACTATCAAGGTATTCTAGAGAGAATTGTGCTGCCCAGTGTCAGAAAGCTTGGTCTCAGTCGCAGGTCATGGGTCTTGCAACAGGATAATGACCCAAAACACACAGCTAAAAACACCCGAGAATGGCAAAGAGGAAAACACTGGACTATTCTGAAGTGGCCTTCTATGAGCCCTGATCTAAATCCTGTTAAACATCTGTGGAAGGAGCTGAAACATGGCGTCTGGAGAAGGCACCCTTCAAACCTGAGACAACTGGAGCAGTCTGCTCATGAGGAGTGGACCAGAATACCTGCTGAGAGGTGCAGAAGTCTCATTGACAGTTACAGAAATCATTTGATTGCATGATTGCCTAAAAAGGTTGTGCAACAAAGTATTAAGTTACGGGTGCCATCATTTTTGTCCAGGCCTGTTTCATGAGTTTATTTTTTAAAATAATTCTGTTAAAACACGGTTCAAAAGCAATGTCTGATTGTCATTGGTAAATTGTCCTAGAATTTTTATTTATTATTACTTTTGTCATATTCAAGTTATTTCTGTGATCATTGTGGGTTTTTCTTTCATGAACCGAGTGGTACCAACAATTTTGTCCACATGTGTATCTCAAGAAGTTAATGTTAATGGAAATCGTAGAATTTGGTGGCAAAATTTAAAAAAAACAAACAAAAAAATCTTCCCTTCACTCTGGTTTGAGATGGGTTTTTTTGTTTTTTTAAGAAGAGAGATTATACGCTTCATGGCAGATGAAGACACCTTTTTTGAATTAGTACTAACATAGCAAACATTTGACTTCCATGACTAATCAGCTATTTTCACTTCTTCCATTGTCTTCACCTCTGGACAGCATGAAACAAAACTGAAACCAGCTGACATTATTGAATCATTACATTGTTCCTTTTTTTTTTTTTTAAATCTGAAGAAGCCTCTCCATTTTCTTTTCTTAGATGGCCAAAGTTTTGTTAATTTCTTCTCCTTTCCTTTTTTTTTTAATGCTTGGCTACTCTGTTTATCACAGCCATGCATATTGCAGCCACCACCTTCAACACTACATAACCTAGTTTACTCGCTCCAAAGCAGAATTAAGCCTAACAAAGCCTAATTAACATTTTCTCTTTTTCTTTTTTTTCCACAACATTTTAGAAATTTGCTTCAAATTTGCATAACATGACAGGATTTTACACTGAGAAGACAGACCTGTATTGATCTGTAGTGTCAATTAGTAGCTGTGGATACTGACACAGGAGTTGGGATTGTTGGTGCACTGAGAGGTTGTGACCTTTCATATCTTGTTACTAAAGGTCCCGTCATCGCCCTCGAGCTGAACGGTGATGGCGTTGTAGAAGCCTGCAAGAGCGTTGCCAATGAAATCTTCAATGGGACCAAGGTAATCATACTGTATTTATCGCATATGTTATGCTACAAGCTCACTTTTTAAAAAAACAAAAAGTCCTACAAATCTAGAATATTTTATGTTCTTCTCCACAGGTTTTTGTCTCTGATAACAAAAATACGTCCTCACGAGACGTGGACAACTTCTTCAACTTCGCTGACATGCAGATGGGCTTGTAATTGGTTAGATATCGATGCAAACTGCCTGAATTCAATGAGATTTTTCTACCGCTCCTGCCGTCCAGCTCGGACTGAATATGATCAATAATTATTTGCCTCTTTTCGTCCTTAAAAAATCGGTAGGAATGGAAAATGTTACTGTTGCTTTGGATAGAGCAACTCACTTCCAGCAGTCATGAGTCTGCAGACTAGAATTCCTCCCTTATAATTCAGAAACATGTGCTGTAAACCACTGATCCATTAGTTGCTAAGAGTGCTGTGAATATTTATATTTCTATGAATGTATTTGATAATTCTGTTGGTTTCATCCATTGTGAATGTAGCTTCTTGCTGTAAATGTAATTTCGTTTTTTTTATTTAAAGCGTTTCATTACTGTCTGAAAACAGTCATAGCAGTGAAAAAAACAAGCACAGGAATGCCTGAGGGAAAATGTTTTATATATAAAAATAGTATTTTCTATTTCTAATGAGGATTATTTGTGTATGTGGTTTAGATAATTGACTTTTAAAATGTGTATATTTGGAAAATGCTGTGTAGGAGGATCATAGGTAGGCCAAAGCTGGTTTGTGAAAGGTTGTGTGTGACTTGCAGTTCAGCTGTTTCCACAAAATTGTGTTCAATAATAGGGTTTTTGATGAAGGCACCTCATGTGATTTTTTTTTTCTTTTTTTTAATGTTTTAATATTTGTTTTATAATCTCTACTGAATGTTTTTGTATAGGAGCAAAACAATGTCCTTCATTCTGATTTTTTTAGTAAAAGTTTCATTATGTGTGATACCATTTTGTACTCTAAAAAATAAGATGACTGAAAGAAAGCTGCATGAAAATTGTCGTCGTTTGACTAACTTGAGCCAACAACCGTTTCACAATATAATAAACGATCTGTCCTGAGTTAAAGTAGTTGCCATTATCGCCACCATCAGCACAGCCGCTTGGTTTTACAGCTGACATTTGCAAGTAATAAGAATATGTTATACAGCAAACAGGCGGCAGGGTTAAGGGAAGCACTTTGGTTCCTCTTTGTAACTTGATCAGCTTGACCTTTTTTGTAAAGAGCTTCAGTTTGAGTAATTTTTAAACAAGCAGGCAATGCAAACATGCCTGTCTGACCGATAATTAGTCTGTCATCGGTGAATCGTGAACATCACTCATCAAGCGAATGGTTTTCCTTGGTGTTATAGAAAGACATTGCTTAAATGTTAGTGATTAATGCCATTTTTCGAATGGAAATGCTGTTTCTCAGCAGAATGAATCATGGTGGGTTCTTTGAAAATGTGCTGTCTTCCTCAGTGAATCACAGTTAGCAGCTTTCCTTTCAGTTATTTCCCTTCAACCTCCTTAAACAGCATCAGTCAGGTTACCATTAACCGTTCCAGTTAATGGCTAACAGCTTGACTTCATGCCATTTTGCCTGTAAATTACTCATTTTTCTGTGATAAAAATACGTGCAGATTTTGTAAATTAGGACTGAACAATTAATCGATGCCATTAGTAAATCATAAAGGCTGTGATTTAAGACACAGTAAGTGTGGATATTAAATAATGAGACTAATGCTGTAATTTAATTTTATTCGTGAACGTGAACGTATTGAAGCTTTCAGATGTCGTTTAGACCCATTGATTAAAGTAAACTACGTGGTTCAGGCATGCATGCTGTGGTTCTGACATAAACCCAGTCTAATTTTTTGATGGACACCTTTTTTGCACCACGTCTGACCCCAGGTTTTAACTGTCATGACAGTGGTTTTACAAGTTCATGCTGTCCTCGTGTGACAGTTTGGCTTTTGACGGTGTCTCATTTGGTAAAGCTCCATCACATGTTTTAAATCTGTTACACAGTAAATACTGAGCCGAAGCTTGACCTTAACAACTTGCATCACAAATCAAAGTATCTGTTACAAAAAAAGAGATATTTTCTTTAAATCTTTCAGCCCTGACCTAAATTATATCCACTATATCAAACAGTTTTGTACAGTTGCCTTTAAGAAGAAAACATGTAAGGACTTTATGTAATGTACTTTTGTATTGGTAAAATTTTTGTACTGAAGCATACAGTTTTGTAGAGCATTTTGTCTTTATGATGCACAATTGTCCGTAATATGTTGTTTCTACACTTAAAATGACATCCTGTCTTTATACAATGGCAGAGTCGCATTAAAAGCCGTAGAAGATCAGATTGTCTGTTTGACTGGTTATTTGTTGTGGACAAATTTTGATTTATTTAACCAATAGGTTTATTCTCTCATCCAAGATGAGAGTTGAAACATCTTTAAGAACCTAAAAGAGAATTTGCTTTTTGCTGAAATCCCTACAATTACCATGACCTGGATGACAGAGAATCTACACAGACTTGAATACTTTATTATCATGGCTTTTTTTAAAAACTTGTGTATCAGAGAATAATACATGGACAGAATAATGTGCCACTAGACACTCAGTTTGAATCAGATACTCTGAATTTGACTTGCTCAACTTGAAAAATCTATATTTTAGCAAAGTGAATTTGAATTACATCATTGGAAGTTAAATTTGTCTGAAACTGAATTTGAATCACCCAGATGTATGTCACAGTAAATTGAATTTGAATTAGAAGAACTGATTTGAATTTTTAAAAAGAGTAAACACAGCTGAATTCACTTTAGTTTGGAATTATGTAATTAAAATTCAAAGTTAAGAAATTCTAATGATGTGATTCATATTCTCTTTCTTGTGGTACTTGTTTCTTCCCACAATGTTGTTATGAAAACACGTCTGTACTGCCTTTAGCATTTCTGCAGTGATCAGAATTTAGGAACTGACTGTTTCATGGGGCAAAGCAACAACAGCAAAGCTATTTAGAGCCGAGTGTTTTCACAAACATTATATTGGCAGAATTCTGTGCAACTACAACTGAATTTGGATTTGAATTGCTCAACTTGAAGATTTGTGTTTAAAAACTGAGAATTAGACTTACAGAATTTTAAATAAATTAAATATTTTATTTGCCCAAAACTGAAAGTGAATTTGAATCACCTGGATGTGGGTCAAAGGTAGTTAAATTTTGAATTACAGGAACTAAATATGAATTTTGAAAACCAAGAACTGAATTCAGTTTAAATCTAATAAATTCCGTTTGAGATGGTGTAATTCAAACATTTTTGTATTGCCTTTAAAATTCAGAATCAGGAAGCCGTGACTGTCAGTGTAAACTTTGCATACAAGAAAATTAGGTATGTTATGCCTCTTAAAACACAAAACACAGGACATTCTATAATCCAATCTAAAATATACATGTGGTATACACACTAAACAAAAAGCTGACTGATGTGGGATGAGGCACTTTTAGTAAATTGAGTGGATAAAGGAATGTACAGTCGTCCTCAAATTTATTCATACCTTCCCTTTAAAGAAGGAAAAAAACAGTCACTGAAATAAGTTGAAATCGACAATAGTAATAATAAATACAATTTTAAGGAAAACCATGACATTGATTTTGAATTGTTGTTCAGCAGAAATTTAAACAAACAAAACAAACAAAAAAACAAACAAGCATGACGGGACCATAAACTAATATTTTGTTGAACAACCCTTTGAGCCAATCACTGCAGTCAAGTGTTTTCTGTAACTCTCAGTCAGACTTCTGTACCTGTTGACAGCTATTTTGATTTTTAGCACAGTGTTCATCAGCAAAGTGCTCAAATTTGGACCGTTTTTTTTTTTATTATTATTCTTTTCAACCACAATTCAAAAGCAATGTCTTATTTCACTTAATTATAATTTAGCAATTTAAAAAAAATACATTTATTGTTACTTTTTCAGTTTCTAGTTTTTTGAGTAACTATTTGTTAATTTTGCAGTTCTTTAATGGAAGGGTATGAATAAATTTGAGGACGATTGTAAAATATTATTAATATAATGTTGCACATGTTCAACTGTAAAAATGAAATGTTATTGCACAGTAGTAAACATTATCAACATATATTGCATTTAAGTAAATAAAGTGCTAGATTTATGAATAGTTATGAGATTTTACAGTTTTTTAAGGCAAAATAACAAAGCCATACTATATAGCCTCTGACGCCCAGGCCTAAAGGACGTCACGGCTGCGTTTTACACATGTCGGTAAACGCCAGTGAAGAAATCGAGCGCACCCAGGCGGGAGGTGAACTCGGCGGGGTTTAGGACCCGGCGGGACGCGCGGTACAATAGAGCTGTTGTGCCGTGTTGGTGGACAGATTGCTGCCCTGGAGATTCCCACTGAGTGCTGGAATACAAAACCCCCAAAATTCACCCAAATCTACTGCCAGAGCCCGTGTTTTTTTTTTTTTTTACTACTACCTGTCTTTGAGAACTGTCTGCGGGTGTATGTGAAGGGAATAAAGCGGAGAGCCGAGCGGGGACTGGAGGTAAGATGGGAGGAATGTGAACAATATGCTCGTGTGTTCAGTGGGGCTCAGTGTGCCAGGATTTGCCCTGGATGGTTTATCCAGGCCACGGGGCCTCCTCCTTTTTTCTGCTTTTCTGGCACTATTTTCGCTTTTTTTATTCTAAAAATATTCGGCAAATGTCTTTGCAGGAGCTTACAGTTCTTTGTGTTCAAAAATAAACGCGGTCGAGCTTTACAAATAGTCGCCTTAGCGGCTGTAGGAAGTGACATCTTTGTACGGTGGTGGCGCCCATGTTTGATTTCACAGCCTGCGGTGGGAGCAGCCTGCTGCAGGCCGGAGAGTGTGTTTGGCGCCAAGACTTCTCTCTGGGCAGGGCCCTTTTTGTGGAAGAATTCATTTTAAAAAGCACACGGCGTGGTTGTAGCTCTGTAAAGTTGCAGCTAACACTCAGACGTGACACCCAGGAGAAGACGATATATGAGCAGAGCAGTGGTGCCACAGGAGGTTTTTCACAGAGGTGGACAGTGGAAGTCCTGAGGTGGCACACAGACACCAAAACTGTTGTCATACAGAAGCGAGGTGAATGCCATGTCAAAATAAATCATGTACTGATTTACAGAAATATAAACGCAGCATGTAGGTGTTCCTTTTCTCTGATGTAGCGAAAAGGTTGAAAATATAATTTCTATTATAATTTAGATTTAGATAGAACTTTATTGTTCCCTTTGGTAGGGTACCTCAGGGAAATTGTTGATGTATAATGTATCCAATTGTGCACAAAAAGTTCCTGATTGGCTTATAAACTCCTCAACCCCTGAGTTTATCCACCTCCTAGTCAGGTGTGTGGTCAGTACACAGACAGTTCTTTGACCAGTGATGTTAAAAGTTCACCTTAAAATGCAGCTTAATTTAAATGACCCAATGCCACAGATGACAAGAGAAAGATGAGAACGGGTTGTCGGATGCTGGAATTTCAGTTTGGGCTGTAGCCAGATAGTTAAATGTCCACACAACAAATAGTTTTAGACAGCTCTGGGTGGACGTGTCTGACAGCATGATCATGTCCCCTAAAATGTCAGTCAGCTTGGTCGAGCCCTTCAGAAAGACATCACTTCACTCCTCAAACGACATCAACAGTTTTAGTAAGTTGTAGATTGCTGGCATTGCACAATGTAAAAGGTGGAAACACTCTTTACTGACTTGTAATTTCTGCTCTGTGACTCCGCTTTGCATCTGCACGTCATTTCCAACACAGTGCATTACTTAATGACGTCCATTCTGTTGTAGAGTTGTCGTGTGCTAAAGCAATGCTTATGCTCTTTTCATTTCATATAATATTACATACAGCATTTATATTTTTGTTATGTACAATACGATTTTTTTTTTAGGTAGCCCGTCATTGATTTAAAAATTACAACAGCGTTAGGATATAATTCCAGTTCTGAGTGCGTGCGTGGACGTCTCACAGGCTTTACTATTGATTGTGTGGAGTGGCATGACATTATGGCCAATTCATATTGTATTTCCACATTAATTCCCCATGTGCAGACTAATGTGGACTTGGAAAGCAGACAGCAGATCGGCACATAGTTCTACTCTGACTACAGTGTACATTATATGGCGTGTAAAATTGCACATTCCTGCACATCGTAAATATTTCTATTACTTTTTTGTTAATTGAAATTACCTGGATTTGCTACACATTCTGTTTATTTGACTTGTAACACTTGCTTTCTTTTGAACTCTGTTTTTTTTATCCTTCTTTAAAAAGTCTCTACTGGTCAGTGTTCTCTCTAATGCCCCAAATTACCACTTCAAGTTCCTCGAATGTGAAAACCTACTGGGCAATATGCTGATTAGGCATGCATAAAGAACTTGTCGATCTCTTATACAGACACATATTGAACACACAGAAAACCTCACAAGACTCCTGTAGATGTCGGTGAAAGGCTGACCGTGACTTCACACTTTCTATAATGCGTAGCTGCTGGCTACACATTAGTCGACAGGCCAGTCTGAGGTGGTCGGGGCCACCCAGGGCCACCTCCTTAGCTCCACCCCTGTGAATGTGGGGAGGCAGCAGGGGGACGTGGACACAGTCGCCCTTCTGTTGTCTTTGTGTTGACCTCTGTTGACTGTCTCAGTCTTTACTTTTCCTCAGTGGAGAAACACTGGAGGAGCCTGCTGGCTGTATTAGATGCAAGGAAATACAATCGTGAAACCACTGGTGGAATGTAACGAAGTACATTTACTCAAGTACTGCCTCTTTATTAGAGTATTTATATTTTACCCAACTTTATACTACATCTCAGAGGGCAATAATATTCTTTATACTCCGTTACATTTGTCTGACAGCTTTAGTTGCTTGTCAGATACATTTTTTTCATATCCAAGAAGTAGTGTTCCTTGTCGGGTTGAGGAAATTCTAATTAATAGCTAAATAATATATTTATTAACTCCTCTTTAATTAGCTGGAAAATACATTGTCACAAAACAGGGCTGTTTTTCTCTCTTTTTAGAGAAATGGGGTTCTCACTATGAATATGTGATGATTGTATAGTAGTTGTTGATCAATGTGTATTTTTAAGGGCCAGTGCTGATCATTAGTTAGAGACTGAAAATCAATATTTGGAACAAATATACGTTTACAGGAAAAAGAAAAATCTTCAATACAAAGATTTATTGAAATGCTTTTGTGTATGTATGTTTTAAATGTGTTTAATTAAAAAGTGAACATTAATCCTCTAGTGTTGATTTGCTACAACTTATTTTGGGTAACTAATCAGGTAGTGCTGTGAATGGGACAT